AGACCACAGGTGTTTCAAGTTGAAAAAGTACTTAAACTTAATTACAAACTTCAAAACATGACATTTCAAAAAATGACATTGCCACAAAATTTTAAGTATGAAATCGATGCATTTTATTATTCGTGTAATCTTTCATTCGAATAAAAAATAGTGTTCGATACGAGGGCGCAAATTTGTTTTTCGAACTCCTGACGGATTGACACCCTCGACTTCATCTCGGGTGTCAAACGCCGTCGTCGTTCGAAAAACGACATTTTTCGCCCTTGTATCGAAAACTACTATTATTTTGTAGATCCCTTCCTGACTGTGTTTCAATTCCAAATCAAAATTAATTCCTGGGTTTCAGTCATTTATTGTCTCTATTTATCAATTAAAATACGTTTCGGTGTTTTCCACCATCATCAGTTTTTATGTGTAGCGTTGTTGCTACTTTAAGCCTTGGCATATATTTGTCAAGGCTTAAAGTAGCAACAACGAATACAGAACATAGAAACCCAGGAATTAATTTTGATTTATTTTGTAAACTAGCACAGTTGCCAGTTATGCAATAAAGTATAGCGTTAGCTGAAAATGTATCCTTGCAGAAATAGTACATTACGATTCAAAAGACGGAAGTCCAAACAATGATTCAATGTTCCTTTCCTATTATTTACGACGGAATCTGCGTTTTGTGGTGCCGCGGATGATTTGCAAATTTTAATTCAAATGAAACGACTGCACACCGCATTTTTTATATTTTTGAACCGACACTTAAAAGTAGCAAACAATCTAGAGTACGCTTTCCAACTACCAAACGCAAAATGCTCAGTTTTGTCTACAAAATTCCCAAACATGCCCAAACGCATTGACCCCATGATGCAATAAATTCATTGTACGACAATGAATTCATTGTATGATACAATCCATTCATTGTATGAACAGTGCATTAATTCATTGTGATACAATTAATTAATTATTTCGTTTAGCTCAACCCGATTTCTCAAATGACACTCTGGCAACACAGCACGCTAAAACGCTGAAAATCAGAGATTTTGTAACGAATTATTTAGGGTATTTTTCTTGCCAATAAACCCAAATCAGGTCCCAAACGCGATTTTCAAAGCACTCAGCTATACAATGCTGCAAACCACATATTCATATAACTTTCCATCTTTGAACTATTGCGTTTTGAATGCACTGAAAATCTCTCTAGGTTACATGCATTTTAAATGGGATCAGCTGTTCACTTTACCAAAGTGGTAACCAGCGACGTCATCTGCGCACGAAAATCGAGTTTTTGACCGATTAATATCCTACCTTGCATTCATTGTATCACGTGTTTAAGCCATCCGCCCCACTCTTTCCCCACCGCTGTTCCACAGGCAGGCATAGTATAAATACAGCAGTAGCGCCAGTTGAAAAACCAGTCGTGGGAGAGACGCGCCGCCATCAGCTTTTAAGAGGGAAGTGAATCATAAAGCAATTCGTTTTTAATAATTATTTTTTTATCGATGAGTGACTCTGTCCCTTGTATACCCATCGTTGGTCTTGCCTTTGAATTTATCAAATTTGCCCCTAGTTTAAACCGTTATTCTTAGATTTCGTGATATTTATACATTGTAGATTAATGGCTTCATATATTTGCTTGTTCCCGCTAAACAAAATAAATTCAGTAAACATTTTCGCAGTCCTTTTGCAGCTTTATAGCTGGTTTTGTTACTTTTTGGTGGATTTTCACTGTAATATAAACGAAAAACCTGTCTGCTAGCAGACGCACTATAGTTTTTCAGCAATCGTTCAACTTTCGACAATATTAATTGTGCCAATATGTAGCAATAGTAGTTAATTTATTTTATATTTAATTAATGTGTATTTAAGAAATTATATAGATCCTATTTTCCATAATAAACTTTTATTTTATTGCTAATTAATTGCCGTTTTCTTGCTCGCCTTAGCTCAGATGTACGAGTAAAGTTGTAGAATAGTGCAGAATTTTATCATTCTTTACTTTTCCAGTAACGTTCAGTTAAAAAGTTGCGTTTTCTCTCTGTATGTGAAAATCGATGTTTTTTTGTAACGGAATATAAAAACACACAATTAAGCGTTGAATAACTACCGATTTATTTCCAGCTAAACCTCATACATTAACTTACACAGTAAAACGCCTCAAAACTACAACATTACACGAGCACCTTGATTGGTAAAAAACATCTAGATACTCTATATACATAAAACTGCTAAAATTAATCAGTTTTTTTGCTTTTGGAGGGCGAACTGATATCAGCACTGTTACCGAAGGCAACAACCCAAAAACACAACCAATTTGGAATGAAAATCGCACCAATAACACTGTACAACCAATTGCCGTAGATCATTGAATCGACGATGCTGAAAAGGACCGCATCCCGATAGGCAAAGATCGTTCTAAAAACTATATCTTTGGCCCTGTCCTGACTGAACATTGTACAGGTGATGATGAAAACCATCCCGAGCAGAACAACCAATGGATGAACCAGAAGCCACAAAGTTTTCTGCAACAGGCCGTAGCCTTTGCTCGAAGTCACGTCGATTATCAGGGCAAAGGGGACAATGATGGCGCCGCAAATGATTCCCAAGGAAATATTGTTCATCGACAGGCAAATTATGGTGGTTCCCAGCTCGAGCAGGGAAAAGATGCACAATAAATTAAGGCTCTGGGGGCAGTTTCGCAGTTCCCCAAACATATACGGTACGGATAGAAAGGCCAGCGAGTTACCAATCAAGGCTATAAGAATGGTGTTGGTAATTTCAAGCGCCCAGAACTTAGAAAGGAATTTGACGCTTTGGGGCAGTGTAATAAAAAGCGCCCCAATACAGTGCAAGATCAGGAACAAAACAATCGCCTCTCTGTAACTGGTTTTATGGTAGCGGCCCTTCCAGGCCTGCTGGTTCTCTTGAATCTGGCACCACTTGGCGCAGGCCCGGATTATCAGGGCAGCCCCCAACATGCACACTGCCGGCATGTACAAGCCAATCGAAATGTACCGATCGGAAGAGGGCAATATGTAGAAGAAGAAACTTTGATGGAACCGCTCAAGGAGATTGTTCATGCTCCTGAACACTCCTTCAATCACGCGCCCCATGCTCAGCAGGCCCACTCTGGAGCCACCTTTGGTTTCTTGAAATCCTTCCACCGTGAGCGCTTGGATGCCAAAGCGCAGGAAAAGCCCATGGTTGCCGTTAGGAATGCCAGTGGCTTGTGTGGCCACCATGCTCATCATGTTCTTGAAGTAATGCCACCACTCCTTGTAGGGGCTCTTGCTGAATGTGGCCGTGCGTTCCTTGAAGGTATAGAAAATGCCCTCTTTGGCGCAAATCCGCGCTGCTAAATTGAACAAGTCCAAGTTGGGCAACTGGCCGTTTAGGCCCTCGATCTTTAGGTCCACATGCCCTATTCGCACGCTGTGCAGTTCCAGATTAATCGCCGCTTGTATTGCGCCCGCTCGGCCTCTCAACTGCCCATGGTCTAGCGTGTTTTCACTTCCACAGCTCACCCCGTGATAGGCCTCCAGCCAGGCTTGAATCCCCAACTGCTCGTGGTCGGTGATTAGGAATATGATGTCTTTGGCCCAATACTTTTCTCTCACCGCAAACTTGGCAAAGGCAAGCTGAATAGCGATGGAGGGCAGGGTGGTTGAGTGGACGCTAGAAGGCGGCCTGTACGGGGCAGTTAGTACCAGAGCCTCAGTGCTTGATGCCCTCGGCGCCCTGAGGATCCCATACACATTCTTCCCTTGGAACGTCTCGTTGGGGTTCAAAGGCGAGTGTAGGGTGAAGTTGTGCGTGTACGAGTCCAGCCCGATTTGCCTGAACTTGGCCAGCAGCCACGGATAGGGGATTGAATCGCCGTACTTCCCGGCTTCGTCCTCCAGCTCTTGAAAGTACTGCAACGCGGCCTTATCCTCCCTAAACGTCGACTTTACTAGCCCAGGGAGAAGGGCGTTTTCTGAGAAGTAGGTACTAGCATTGACGAGGGGCGAAGCCAGGGCGGCAAACCACAACACTCCCGCAATATAAAGCAGCACACACAACGGCACGTAGAATCTTAACAGGATCTTCGTTAACTTGCCGTGACCGCTGCTTGGGTCTGTTAGGAGGCCCATGTTTTCTTTTTAAATTTTGTTTACATCGGCCAAACGCCAAACTAACTGTCAACAAAAAGTGGGGAGCGAGGTTAAGTACACCCGAGTGAGTCAGTAGTGACGTCAAGCCCGAGGCACTATCATATTTTAAATGCTCTATTTATTACAAAACGTGCTGAGAAAAATCAACCCCACCACAGAAAATTTAAAAGGCTTATTTTACACAGAAATGGTCTTGACACCATGCATGTGGTCCTCATTAGAGTTATCAAAAGGGAAAAAAGGTAATATACAAACTGACAACTGTGTTTGTTTATTATCGTAGTATCGTCACCTGCACTGTTTTAGGTTAGAGAACATCAAAACAATTAATTAGTACAAACACAATGCCGAATAAAACTGAGTCCACTGAGCAATGGCAACATCCCAAGCAGTTGCTCAAGCTCCAGAAGTTGAAGGTGAAGAAAAGGGCCTTACAACAGCGAATATATTCCGTTGCAAGTTTGAAAGATGCGAAAGAAACCCAGGCTGTAAAGGCGTCGCCGTTCGAGACAATTTTCAACGGTAAAAAGCGCCGAAATCCCTTTGCCAAGGACGATAGCCAGGCGAAGAAACCCAAGCCGAGTGAGAGCTTAATCAGTGAGAGTCAGGATGAGACTTTGTATAAAATTCTCAATCAGTCTTCAGCGACTGTTGACGCGAAACAGCCACTGGCTACATTCCAGAATGTTTTGTCCCTGAATGAAGCGCCAAAGAAGGCCCGGGCTGCTGAGTCCCCGTGCTGCCCGATAGACTGGACTTTGAGGCAAAAAATCCGGCTCATATCCTCCCAGCCCTTTCCCTGGACGCAAAATCTCAAGATCAGCGAAGAGTCATCGGGGCTGACGAGTTTTGCGCGCTGTTTGGACATTGATAAGTGCAACACCTCACTGGACACATCTCCTAACGCCAAATTCCATCAGTGCTGCCTATTATGGCAACAACCCGTCCTTCCCTGGCTGTCCCTCTTTCCAAGGAACAGCCTCAAAAGCAACACGAATGGCGTCAATTTGGGGGCAAGTTCCGTCGTAAAGACCAGCCTTTATGAGTCCTGGACGGACAGTTTTAAGTCGCTTTACCAGCTGATAAGAACGCGCCAGTGCCCGTATTTTTATGTGTGTGCCAACAGTTTTACGGCTCTTTTTCGAGCTGCCGGCTTATGCGGGTATGCAGACCTGCATGCTATGGTCACGCCTACAACAAGGGGCTTTCGTAACTTACTGAAGGAGCAGGACATTGAATTTGAAATGAGTCTGCAGCCTACCAAGGAAGCAGAGAAGCAGGACTTGAAGGAGGCAACTGATGTTCAGGCTAACGAGCTGGTGAGCAAAAAAACGGATGGGGCACAACTGGGCTTTATATTAACGTTTATTTTGCTTAGCAGCATCATGACGAAGATGACGAGGACTGGCTGGAAAATCTGGGCATCAATGCTGACGATATAAAGAACATCAATTATACTCAGGTAAGTACTTTAATAGTGGCTTGAAGATGCGAATGAAGAGATTGAATGTATTTATCATTTTCAGGACCGTATAAAGCACAAAAGCGAATGCCAGGTGGACAGTTCGCACCAAAGCCTGATCCTGATTGAAGGCGTCGAAGTCAATTCGTTTTTCAACTTTTTGCTCAACTGCAAAAGCACAATTGCTGTGACTGGATTGTTTGCTGGAATTCCGCCCACCTTACTGGCTCCAGTCGCCTTCTACGGAGCCACTCTGAATGCGCTGAAAGTGCGCGAAAGCAAAATGCATTCAGCCGGAAGCGACTATTATTCCATCGAACTAACCGGACCAATTTTGCCGACAACCGTTCACAATATTCTCAATATCAACCCGGCAAATCACAGCATTACAATGACGTTCAATGATTTGGAAAGTACTCGAGGGTTTAGTAAAGTGGCCAAGAAGAAGCCCCCGGAAGAGGAAAAAGGGACTGCGATTTTCGGCAAAGAGAACTTGTCTGATTGTGGCCTTCATCCGACAGTGTTGACCGGTTTTTGCTCAGCTGATGCTCAACGAGTCAGCAATATCGAATGCCTGAAATACTCCGGGGAGACGAAAACGTTCACCTGGAGCTAACACTTCGTAGGTAGCACAATTACTTATTGATTCGTTATTTTAATTGCATTTTATTAAACGACAATCCTTATGGGATTGTTTATTATTTGAAGTGGAGTTCAACCATTCGGAGACGTATAAAAGCCACTAGTTTCACAAAATCTAATTGACTTCGCGCAGAAACAGTGAAAAGGGCAGATCTTAACTGAGGATTGGTCCAAATACGACAATCTCCAAATGAAGTAGGTTTTATTGGTTTATTACAACCTTTCATTATTAACAGCCGTTATTTACTTACAAAAGAACAATATTTTCTCAAAATAATATAATCCATACTAACTTTGCCCTAATTGGGGGTCAACTTGGGCCTTACTATTCAGACGTCATATATAAAAGCCAAAAAATCGTCATACTTTAAAAACAGGTACCATAATAGTTATGCGAATATACTAGTAGCTACGGACTCCCTACAACGAACTGACCAGTTCATTGCCACGCAGACAGTTCCAGCACTCCAACGTTTCGATCACAAAGTTGATGTCCGTTTTCCATCGTTCCTTGTCCTCCAGAGTGTCGGCAGTTAGGAAATAAGCCAACACCGACTGCTCCCTGCTTTGTATCTGTAAAAGCAGCGATTTCGGCCTTGGACAGACACTCCTAACTGCTGAAGTCGCTTGTGCGGCCGCACGGCTCAAGTCAATCACGCCCACTGGATGGGAGTTGAACTCCTCCGACGGATAATTCCAGTATTTCAATAAATGTCCGCTCAGGACGCACCATCGTCTATTCCAAACCAATGGAGTTTTATCTTCTGGAAAAGCCAAGACGATTAAGTCATGAAGAGATGTGTGAATGGCCACTCCTACCGAATCCAATAGTCAAAAAACCTCCCATTCTATTGCTCAGTTTAACATCCCCCTTCAGAGCAGCGGTGAACTGTCCATCCAAGGAGGATTGCAGGGAGACGTGATGTAATCGAAAGTGCGTTTTCTGTATATCCGCGCAACACATCACGCATGATCCCCACAAGGTGAATGAGGATGGTTTGATGCTCGAAACGTTATCAACTTGCAGATTGCGGCGTGACGATTTGTGGCTGTTCAAGTGGAACAGGATTTTTGCGTAGGGACTCAACAAACTGCGCTCCTACATACAAAAGTGCACCCTGATTATATGTGGAAAGGCTAATCCTGGGTAACTCAGTGGATTTTGAAGAGTTGGCGCAGTGACACGCAAATGGCTTGGTGCGCCAACCCAACGCACCGGCGCAGTAGTCAGTTTCGTTGCTGGGAGAATGTTGATGGCTTTTTTGCTTGTTTTTAGATTTATTCAAGGGCCGTTTATTGATAATATTTTTAAAATTGCTTCAGACTTTTCCAGTTTTTGCCAAGTTACTCTTTTTTCTCCATGCTCAATTTTATAGTTTCACTTAAAAATGCTGACTTAAGGTATTTTCCGTGAAAAAAATATGAAATAAATTTCGAATTCTTGGTCGCTTTGTTAAAAGTTTTGAAATCCCTTTCCAGCGTCGAATTTGGAACAAAAATCGAACAATTTTCTATCAAAAAACGAACAGAATAAGCGAAAGTTTATAACAGATTATTTGGAAATCTCGTCACCTCCATTCATCTGAAGACTGTAGAGTTTGTTAAAAAATGTGTTTTATTTGTTTTGCTTTGCTTTCTACTTAAAAACGCTCTATTGTGTAGAGTGTCACTTAAAAATACTGACGATCTGGAGGTCTTTGACGCGAAAAAATACAAGATAAATTTATAGCTTTGTAAAAATTGTACATAAACTTTTCAGCATTGAATTCGAGACAAAAACGAAAAGTAGTTCCTCCCGTTTTTCCTCGAAAATCATCAAGGTTTTCGCCAAAATCGATCACAAAACTGAAAGTTTTTCATCCAAAACGCAAAAAAAAACATTATTTTCTGATAATTTCCTACTTTTCTAACTATAATGGGGTCTTTTCAGCCTCGAATTTGGCACAAAAACCGAATAATGTTATTCAGTTTTTTACTGAAAGTAAGATTATCTGGAAAAACGATCAAAGCAAAAGTTTACAGAGAATTATTTGGCAAATTCGCAGCCCTAATCGCTCTGAAGATTTTTAAATTTCCTTCAAATTTTCAGGTCATCGTAGTTTTAACGTTTAAGTTAAAGTTTATATTAAGCAATTCTTTCTCCTAATAATTAATTCTGGGTCTTTTTTCCAAAAATATTTCCCCGAACTGAAAAAGCGAAAGTTGATAATAATTTATTTGGAAAACTCTTGGAAACTGGGGTTTCTTCACTTTCAAGTCAATATTTTTAAACAACACTGCCTCAAACAGAAAAACTGCGTTTTACTGTAAAATACTGGCAAACTGAATCATTTATGCAAAAAATAAGAGATTGATTTTACAAGAAAAGAAAACTCGTCGATTTGCTTCGGACTAAATTCTGTTGCTGGGAAAATCTAGATGACTTTTTTAGTTGCTTGAACAAAGTAGTAAAAGGTTGCTCAGAACAAATATTGATAACCTTTTTTTAATGATGTGAAAATTTCAGCCTCGGGTCTCGTAAAGCTTTAATAAATGACTCATTAACCGATGATAGCGATGACTCAATAGCGCAACTCAACACAGTGTTACCCAGGCCTAGAAAAGGCAGCGGCATCATTTACCTTTTTCGGGTGTTTTCCATCGGTCGAATGGCCGCATTTCACCTGCATGGAGTAAATGGAAACGTTTACTTCAAAGTCCGTATGCAACCCGGTGAATTCGAAGTGTTTTTCGGATTTAATCACACCAGTGTGATCAGCCAGCAGAACTTGGCTGGCTAAAACCGTCTTTCCACTAGTGAGGAGAACGACGAAATATTCTTCGAATTTTTTCGCCGGTTCTTCTTCGCTAGCATGGTCCTTTCGCAGCTGGAAAGCCAAGTCGGATATTTGCAGGGTGCCTGAATGCGGGTAGTTTTCGTTCGGCTTGTCGCCGAACTGTAGCAGGT